AAGCTGCAGTTTAAATTCAGTGCCCATTTTTGGCTCCAAGTTTAAAACTGCGGCTTTCACATTTGCTTTCCTGGGAGCTGGAAGCAGGGCTCCTCCTCCATCAATGGCACTGGGGTTGGGGTGGGGGCAGGGCTGGGGTCTTGCCTTAAAAGCAACGCCATGCCTGTGGGCTGGGTGGTACTACATCTGGTAGGGAGGGGGCCGAGATGGGCTGGGAGGGTCATGCACTACCTGGAGGTGTGGCAGGGGAGATTGGGGCTGGGCTGGCCAGGCCAGGAGCACCGCGCCATGCTGTGCCTTTGTGGGCTGTGGCACTAGGAGGGCCTTGGGAGCTAGAGCCTCCCAAAATTCATGTTGCCTTCCCCCCCACCCCGTAGCTGAGCTACCCCTCCCAGGGACTCTGCCTGTCTGCAGAGACACAGTGTGGTGGCAGTGCTCCCCACCAGGCCCAGCTCAGCCCAGCGCTCTGCATCTGCATGTGGGGGGAGGGGGCTGTGTGTGTGTGTGTGTGATATCTTTTACTAGAGGGGGCGCTCTGTGACGGAGGGGGCCCACAAATGTAAGCACTGGCCTCCGGGCACGCAGTATACCACTGTAGAAATTCCAAGACCTAAGTGCAGGCACCGATGGAACCAATTTCTAGCTGTTGCTTAGGGACTGCACTGACCTTTGGGTAAGGCTTTTTAGATGTGAGCCATTCCATTATAAGGGCATTATCTCTCTCCTGAGCAGCGAAGATAAATGTAAAATGGAAACAGTCATTCACAGGTATGTTAAAATATATCAGCTGTTTATAAGGTACTTAGACACAACAGTGATGAGCTCCATAGCAGAGCCCATGAGAAAATTAGTATTTTAGTGCAGGGTTTGGATGGTATACTCTAAGTAATACATGGCACCAACCGTTAAGTGACCACAACAGAATGGAATAGAATAAATCTGTTACTCTGTCATGAAAGGTATATACGTTATAAAAATATTCAATCTCTCCTCATGTGTGCTATCTTCTCTGTCTCACTTGTATACCACTAGCATTCTTGTACAAAGGCTGTCTGTAAATCTGTGTTCTGAACAAATTGCCAGGGCATACTAAGAAGTGTTTTGAGATCAGTTAAATCTTAGGCAGTATTTCCAAACAAGGTGTCACAGCTCAAAGTGATGTGGCAGGCCCAATGACAATTCAGTTTGAGAAGGGGGGCTCACAGCCAGAAATGATGTCACAAACAGAGAAATTGGAGAACCAATGCTTTTGGGCCTTATGGACAGGCATGTTCCCCTCATCTAATAGCCTGAAATGGCCTCAGTTCCCTCTTCAGTTTTTTTTTAATTATTTGACCTCAGGCTGGAATACTTAAAATAATATCCTGGTACATTGTAAAGAAGCAGGCCTTCTTTTGTATACAGACTCTTTTAGTTCCTCAGGTCTTCTCTTTCATTTGGGACTCCTAGTTGGTGGTTCTGCCATCATAACTATGCCAGCCCAGATATGATAGCAGAAGCCTAATAATATAGACAAAACTTTAAGGGCATATCTACACTGCCACAGAAAATTAAATCTATCCCAACATCACTCTCAAACTAGGGTGCATTCTCATAATCCCTCCTAAAATGTCTACTCTGCTTAATTACAGGCCTTGGTTTCACATGGACTTGGAATGAGTGAATGGGACTTTTCTCTGTTCTCAAATGCTGTTCCAGGTTCAATAGGAGAGCACTATGGACACATCCTAGAACCTCCCTCACAATGCAGAGCATAAGAACAAGCATAACTGACATTTGCATTCATTTGGAGGTTTCTTTACACTGTCAGTATAATCCAGTACACATGAAATGTGGAATTCCTTTCTCTCTCAGAAGAAAGACACAGTGTCTTAGTAGGACACACAGACTGGAGGAATGAGACCAAGACTTACAGTCAGGGGGTGCGTCTACACGTGATGTTGCTGTAGCAATGCGCTAAGATGACAGAATTCATGGGCAAAAAATGTGACACTGCAACTACATCGCTGTAGCAATGTGCTTCCTCATTATAGTGCATTGCTACAGTGGTCTAGTGCGTAAAAATAACCATGCGCGGCACACACAGCACAGTACGGGTTGTTACTGTGCTGTCTGTTAGTACTTCCAAAAGGAAATATGAAATGACAGTGTAGTAACAACGGTGCCATAGCAGCATGTGTAGATGTGCCCAGGATGTCTTGAGTTCTAATGTGGGTTCTCTCTGTGTGGTCTTGAGCAAGTTGCTTTACTTCGTTTTCTCTGCATCTGTAAAATTGGACCAATAGTACATATACAGATACAGCTGTAATATATGAGATCCTGTGACTGTGTTTGTTAATAGTTCTATAGCATTTTGAAAAATGCACAGATGCCATTATCTGTGATAATACAATATGTTAAAAACTCCTTGCGTGGTTTTTGACCTAGTCTTGTTCTGTATATAAATGATGGCAAAATTCTCATTGACTTCAATGGGAGCAAGACTGAATGATCTTTTTTGTGGAAATAACTTGTTCTTGCAAATAGACATTATTCAGTTCTTATCTCTGAAGAATTCTCTGCTAACCAGTTATTTCCAATTGCATTTCAAAGAAGGTATCAAATGGGAAAGAAGCACAACTTATTTTAACATATAAAACACTCTTATGAATAAGTAACAAAGAAATGAGAAACCTGCAAAACTGACCCAGAAGGAAGCTTGTACCTGGGATGTGAACTGCAGGCCTTCTAAATGATTATTCTCTTTTTTTCCACAGAGTTTTCTTACAAAACTCAAGAGTAACTCATGAAACCACCAACTAAGAAAAACTTAAGCATCTCTTACAGAGCTGTTTTATTTTTGTGATTCTCTACAGACTTCATGGACATAATCCATCTCTGGGAATTACTGTTTTTGATATTAAATAAGAGAGGCGATGGAGAGTAAAACTCCCAGTTGTACCTTTCACAAAATACCTTTAACATCGGCTCACAGCTCACTGGTTACTACAGATTTATATTATTTATAAAGCATACCAAAGTGTAATAGCTAATTACAGCACTTTGTCTTTGCAGGCAGTGTGTCTGTAATATGTCTTTGGTCTGCGTTTTTCATATGAACAGCTTTCTTTCTTCTGCTCATGGAAATATGGTGATTCAAGTCTATCAAAGCTTTCTGTGTACCTATCAGTAATGGAAAGGCGACCCAGTCCTTAGATGAGTCTAAACTGGGCTTGTCTCAATGCATGGGGAAAAGGGAGATTTAGGTAATTTTGAGCTCTTCTGATACCTGAATTCTTTTCAATAGCAACAGGCTCAAGGAAACATCAGCTGATCACTTAAACAGGTTTAAGATGATGTTATTCCACCCATGCAGCATCAGCTTTCGGGGATTCAGTTGGCAGTGTTTAAACAGATCTTGGTAGAGTGCTTGTGGATTTTGTCAGATGAAAAAATCTTGTAAAGGTCTCTGTGGGTGCATCTACAATTAAGGCAATGCAATAAACTCCGGTGCCATTTGAACCAGAGGAAACTGCTCCTAGGCACAGAATCTACACATGCACCTGGGAAAGCAGCAATTTGAGCCAGGGCAGAGCAGGCCCTCAGCTGGCTCAGCTGACTGGGTGCAATTTATGCCCCCAGTCAGTATCTACACATGCGTTTCAGCGCAGTAAATTACTCTGCCATAAAAAAGTACTGTCCCTGAGTACTATCGGAGTTAATTTTAATCTGCAGAGTTAATTAATCTGCAGCACATTGAGCCAGCTTGGAGCAGCTCCAGGCTGGCAGGCTGACCCTGCTAGCTGGGGCTGCTCTGTCCTGGCTCAACATGTTGTGGTCCAAGGTGTATGTGCAAACGCAGTGCCCAGGAGCAATAAACTCCAGTGCGAACTGTGCCGGAGTTTATTCAGCCACATTAATAGCACATATAGATGTGCCCACTGAATCTAGTTTCTGACATGAGTATGGCAGATCTTTTCTTCACACAAGACTATAGAGCACAATCTATAAAGCTACAAAGCACAAAAGACTATAAAGCACAATTATTGTGCAAATAACAATAAAATGTAAGCTCTATACTTCCTTGAGATTTCTATCGCTCTTCCATTACCAAAAAGAAATTCTCCTATTAATTTGCAATCTTTTGCTTGGTATTTGTAACCTTGACATTCTAACCTTGCCATATGTCATTCAATAGATACCTCTATCTAATTATACTACTGCCATGAAGCAAGCTAAAGAGATGAATTATTGCCTAAAACATCATCCATATTGGAAGTTAGGTTTTGAAGGTTGTATTCAATATTAAACTGAACAGAACAAATCAGTTTTCAAGTGTACCAAAGGTTCATATGCAGCAATACAGTAAATATTAATGATTTTCTTGTAGGCACTACTGGAATTCACACCACTCCTAATCCACCTTTTACTGTATTACTGTGGCAGCATCTACACATGCAATTAGTACAGCTGAACAAACACTGGTACACTTTGCAGTGGAGTTTATTGCTCCCAGGCACATCATTTACATTTGTGCCCAGGCCCACAGCATGTTGAACTGGGCTGGTACAGCCCCAGCTGGCAGAGGACCCAGGGGATCAGCCTGCCAGCCCAGAGCTGCTCTGCCCCAACTGAACATGCTGCAGGGAGGGGCTGGCTGGGGCATGAGGGTGCTACAGTGCAGGGCCAGATGGCAGGCAAGCCCCAAATTGTAACACCCTCATGCCCCACCCAGCCCCAGTCACTGTCTACATGTGCGTTGCAGCGCACTAAATAACTGTACCATAAGACAGTACCTGTGCCAAGCGGTACTATCCTGTAGTGGAGTTAATTAGTTTATTCCAGCCTAATATCATTGCACATGTAGACAGTGACATTTTACTGCAGAGCTAATTAGTCAACTGTAGTAAAGCACACATGTAGATGCCCCCTGTATGTTCAAGTCCTTAAAGCTTTTTTCAAGCATTGAATGTATGGCTAGTCACAAGTATGGTTTCCTATCAGATTGTTTTGCTTTCTAGAAATTTTACACTTGAAGAATGGCTAGCACATTATCTCGTCTCCTGGCTGGCCACAAAACTGCTGTGCTCTTTGCAACAGTTAGCACAGGGGCTTTAACCACTGGATATCTACTGAATCAGCGGAGTGTGAATGCAGGAGCTCAGGACAGACGAAAACTCTTTCCTCCAAGGTAAGTACTTCGGGTCAAAATCTCAGGTGAGCGCTCATCCTCAGTAGCTGATGTAGTTATTAAATGTAGCTCATAAGGAAGTAGAAGGGAAGAGATTTGCCCCAATCAGGACTGAAGAGAGCAGTTACAGAACCCACAATGACCCACCCATGACACCTATTTGTTTGTCTGAGGTGTGTTTATTGGGGGAAGGAGCTGAGCATGGGAAACAGACTGGCAGACTGATAAAGCAAGAACATGATCTCCCACAAGTAATCCTGGTTTTAAATAGATTCAGGATCCAAGAACATGCTCTTTGATGATTAATCTTGTTTTTAGCCAACTTTAGAATACCACAAACATGGGGGCACTCAGGAAAATGAATCTTAATTATCTAAAATGGTGAAGTTAAAATCAATTAGTGAAGATGTACTAAATCCTGTGTGAATGCTCATTCAGAATGATGGTAGCCTTCATTCAAATTTATTTCTCAAGTACATTAAACTAAAGTAAAACCACTTTAATTCTGAAGAAATATCTATAAAGGGATTTGATGTGGGTTAACATTTCACTTTAAAAGTTAATTTAGATTAATTTTCCTGAGCAACTCCATGTAGGCAAGTCCTTTCAGTTCTGTGATTTTAGCCGTGGGGTTCCTTAGTGACAGTAGTGCACTTGTGTTCTTGCTAAACTTCACCTCTATGCTTGGCCAGAAACAGATCACATATCAAACTCTGATAATTTCCATGACCCTCCTAAGCCGCTGCAGAAAAATACCAACCCATGTACAGCAAAATGACACATTTTAGCTTAAGAGAAGGAAACAAGTAGCCCACATGTTGCACTCATGCCATCCCCTCTCCATCTGAGTTGCTGTAGTCTGAGAACAGACCCATGGATTACTGTTTAATATTACCATGTTAAGCGCATTTGTTTTTCTCATCCCTTAGTGCAGACTATCCTGATCTCCGCAAACATAACAACTGCATGGCTGAATGTCTCACACCAGCAATTTATGCAAAACTAAGGGACAAGATGACTCCCAATGGTTATACCTTGGACCAGTGTATCCAAACTGGGGTTGACAATCCTGGCCATCCTTTCATTAAAACTGTGGGTATGGTCGCTGGTGATGAAGAGTCATATGAGGTAAAATGTTATTTACTGTGATGTTCAGTTATTATACTTCCTAAGAGTTTGTTAGGATGCATATCCTTTGTCAAATGTGCATATTTAAATGCACACCAGATGATATATAAAATGCAAGCCATATGGATAATACTGGTATTTTCTCTCATCTTTGGGGGAAATTACAGCAGGACATGCAATGAAAAAGAAACATCGCTAAAGCAACCATCTATAAAGGTATCAAATGCAATAAAGTTATCAAATGCAATAAAGTGTAGCCTCACAGGAACAATATTTTATTTGCCTCCCACAACTGCACTCCCTCCTGCTGTAAAAGTTAGTTTGTGGCAAACCTGTGAATCCTAGCCATCCAAGCAAGCTGATGTGGAAATTATATTGTAAACGAAAAGATAGTAGAAACAAGAAAAACATTTCTTCTGAAAGATGTGGGATGCTTGACAGCTAGATTTTATGGCTACATAGACATGAAAAATATCAAAGATACATTGGACTAGGATAGATAAATTGATTTTAATTTTGAAATAGGAGAACAAGAACTAGGCAGAAGAGGCCCGTTGTTATAACACCTTCTGTGTTATTTAACACTACAGTCATCTTACTCCTGCCTATAGAGCACTGGAAGCTTCTCTTCTATTATTTATTCTCTTCAAAGTAACATCAGACATCCCCAATGCTGGCTTGCTAATAATGTGTTTATGATACAGATGACTCTGTTTCACTTGGTCTTGAGCAGGAACTGGCTGTAGAAAGGATTTGTAGAATTAAACTTTAGTAGTACCTTGGGCATATTTAGACTGCCTCCGTAGTGAGATATGACTGCTTGCTTCACCAGGGCTACATCTGAAAAGATGAAATGCTTGTGCCCTTATTGGTATGTGCCATTAGCTCATTGGCTCGGATAGGCTTTTTGGGGTGCATTCTGTTCCTCATTACGGGTAGCTATATGACATCCATTTGTGGTATACCCTAGTGCTGTCTAGAGGCAGTGTAGATGCCCCCACTGGTTGTGTCTGCACTGTATTCCAAAGGGGTGTTTTCAGCTTACAGGGCACATCTACACATCACCCTGTGGCGACATAGTGTTCACGTGTGTTTACCTGTGATTGCCAGCTATGTTGCCATAGCAGCATGCTCCTGGGTATACTGCACTGCTATGGTGACATATTGGTGAAATCCACCCATGTGCCATGCACACAGTGCAGTAACTGCCCATGCTGTGTTGTGCTTTAATACTTCCAAAACGTATTAAAGCATGGTACCATAGCAATGTCGCCATATGGCAACATGGAGATGCACCCACATACAGTAGTCCTATCTAAACCTCCGTAGCAGTATAGTCTTTAGGACAGGCTGTCCCTGTAAGCTTTGGACCTTGGTGAAGCCTATGTCATTGCAGTTAGTTTAACTTTAGCTCAGAACACAGGAATTCTTCTTCCTTACTTTCTCTTCAGAACCTACAATTGGCTTCCCAGTCACCTTTTTACTTTACTCAGCAATGGAAATTTAGCTCTCAGACTAGGAGTCTTCCTTGCTTGAGCTAAAGACTCTCTCCTCTTTGGGAGCTCAAAGGCTGGAGCAAACTCATAAAACTCAGTGTTGTCCAGCCACTACAGGGGACCAGAAAACCACACTGCATACCCAAAACTGAACTAATGCTCTGTTAACTCCACAGATGTTTGCTGAGCTTTTTGACCCAGTAATTAAAGTGAGACATAATGGCTATGATCCAAGTATAATGAAGCACCACACAGACCTGGATGCATCCAAGGTAGGAATATACTTTTGAATCTTTTATTATTCAGCTTCTTAGAACTAGCATATTGAGTTTAATGGTTCAAGTTCCCATTTCCAAAGAAAATAAGCTTATGGAAAACAGAACTGTGATGTCACAATGGCTGGAAATGGTAGTGCTTTGCTGCCCAGGTACTGACATAGCACACCCAACCAGGAACCTGACCAGGTTAGGCCATACTTGATTTTGTCCCTTATGCATTGCATCTCCATGTAGTCTCCTAGAACCTGAAAGCTTGATGAGGCCTCTATAGAATTTAGAGCCTCTTTAAAATATTTCTAAGTAGAATATCCAGATCACGTATGATGACCTGACTGTAGTGAATGTAAGAAAGATATCCATTATGTACACGTTAAAATGACTGTATGTAAAATGGGGTACTGTATGAAGATTTTTTATTCTTTTGTCAGATCACCCAGGGCAACTTTGATGAGCGCTATGTCCTATCATCACGTGTACGTACTGGTCGCAGTATCCGAGGTCTCAGCCTTCCCCCAGCCTGTTCTCGGGCAGAGAGGAGAGAAGTAGAAAATGTTGTGGTCACTGCGCTGGCTGGGCTGAAAGGAGACCTTGCTGGAAAATACTATAGCTTGACTGATATGTCTGAGAAGGATCAACAGCAACTTATTGATGTAAGTAGACCACACAACCTGGATACTTAGGGCATCTTTATTTGTTCTCATTTATTTTTATCCTGATCTTTCTCTTTTGTATATATTTTGCTGCTTAAATAACGAGAATAATGACAGCAGTAACCCTGTCTACTGTAATTTCTATTAGAAAATTCAATTGACATGAATTTTAGTAACTTGGAAAAAAAGTAGCTTTGTCTTAAACTTTTAAACCTAGAGTTATAATACAGGAATTACTTTCTGTGCCAAATTATTAAACAACAACATTTGATTATTAAAAATAAATATTGAATATGTTAAATGGATACTGCTGTCATCTTATCCAATCACTAAAGGAAATCTAGGATCTCATATTTTCCTGTTTAAGCACAAATTGGTGTACAGAATCAGTATTTTCTTAGTTGAATACCTGATTAATATTTACAAAGTATGTACCACTTTAATTTCCCTGACCAGTGATAGGAACCAACTTTATGCAACCCAAATATGCCTCAATCCCCCAGACACTGTTACACATGTCTAAAGATTTGCGGAATCAGGCCCATGCTGATGGTTTTCAGTGTTAAAAGGATAGTGAACAGAGATTCTAGTTGTGGATTTCTGTCAATGTATTGCCAAACTGCTGAGTCAGACATTTGAGATGTGTACGTTTCTAAGTGCATTACTGGAAAAAAAGACCTTAACAATGGGTGACTAACTTGAAAATCCATAATAGGATCTTTCTTAATAAACTTTAAAAGCTATAACTGTCTACAAGATAATCCATAGGATTTTAGAAAATTCTTTAGATACGGATTTCTTTAAGTCCCAATGAATTGTTCTGATCTCTCAGCTCTATTCAAGGCATGTTAGTTTGTAACCACAACTAATACATTATGTAAAAGACATATAATTACCATTAATACTAGACCTAGGTATCACAGACATATTCAGTCAAAATGGACTGTTTAATTAGCAGAAACCTAAATAATGAGCTATGAGTTTTTATGTAAATTGTATTTATGAAAAAGACATTGATTGCATATTCAAATTCTTATCTAACCATGTTCTCAGTAAGTGAATGAGCTGCTCCTCCAAAGGCCCAGGTCAAAATGGGAAATGGAGAACACAACAATTCCTACATTGCTTATCAGATTGATCTGACCTGAAGCAGGGACTTGGTTCTTTGTTTATTAAACCATTAGTTTACATTACCACAAACTGCAAGCCCCAGAGCCTCCAAAACTGACCCTCCATCACCTTCAGTTCTTCAGGCTCTGAAGTCTTCAAAGTGTTAAGGGCTTTCTGATGGGCTCCCTCAGCTCCCCCACTGAAGTTAATGATTGTCGAGGGCACTTACTATATAGAACAGGAGACATTCTATCTTCACAGGATTGGATCCCAGGCATGGAAAGGAAGATGAATGGGGATGATGCTGCCTTTAGCAATGGACTGAACTAGGCAACTTCCTGAGGAGCCTTTCAGTCTTATTTCTCTATGGATCTTCAATAGCGTCCAGCCACTCCCTGGTAAAAGGAGGAGGTTTTCTACTGAACTTAAGCAAACAAGTGTGCTGGTGCAGTCTTTTCTCTGGTGCTAACAGAAGAAACTGGTGGCACTAGAAGAAACAAAGAAAATACAGAAGGAACCCACTCTCTCATTGTTCTGATGTAATGGAAACACAGTTTCATCCTTCATCTAATGCATGTGATCAAGATACAAATATACTAAGGCCCTAACACTGCAATGTAATATGCACAGATTGGTCACTATCCCTCCACAGAATCATAGAACATGAGGGTGGAAGGGACCTCAGGAGGTCATCTAGTCCAACCCCCTGCTTAAACCAGGACCATCCCCAACTAGATCATCCCAGCCAAAGCTTTGTCTAGCCAAGTCCTAAACATCTCCAAGGATGGAGAGTCCACAGCCTCTCTGGGTAGTCTATTCTAGGGTTTTAAAACCCTCCTAGTGAGAACGTTTTTGCTAATATCTAACTTAAACTTCCCTTGCTGCAACCTGAAACCATTGCGCCTTGTTCTGTCATCTGTCATCAGTTAGAATAGTCTAGCTCCATCGTCCTTGGAACCACCTTTCAGGGAGTTGAAGGCTGCTATTAAATACCCACTCTGTCTTCTCTTCTTCAGATTAAGTAAATCCAGTTCCCTCAGCCTCTCCTTATAAGTTACGTGCCCCAGGCTCCTAACCATTTTTGTTGCCCTCCACTGGATTCTCTCCTATTTGTCCACATCCTATCTGAACTGGGGGCCCAAAAATGGACACAGTACTCCAGATGTGGCTTCACCAGTGCTGAATAGAAGTGAATAATCACTTCCCTCAATCTGCTGGCAACACTCCTACTAATGCAGCCATGCATGCCATTAGCCTTCTTGGCAACAGGGGCACACTGTTGTCTCATATTTAGCTGATTGTCCACTGTAAACCCCAGGTCTTTTTCTGCAGAGCTGCTGCCTAGCTAGTCAGCCCCCGCCTGTACTGGTGCATGGGATTGTTCCGTCCTAAGTGCAGGACTTTGCACTTGTCCTTATTGAACCTCATGAGATTTATTTTGGTCCAATCTGTTCAGGTCTTTCTGAATCCTAGCCTTACCTTCTAGGTTATCTACTATTTCCCCCAGCTTGGTGTCGTCTGCAAATTTGCTGTGGGTGTGCTCTGTGCCATCTTCCAGGTCCTTGATGAAGATATTGAACAAAACCAGCCCCAGTACTGACTCTTGGGGCACCCTACTTGATACTGGCTGCCAACTGGATGTCAAGCCACTGACTACTACCCTCTGATCCTGATGATCCAATCAGTTTTCTATCTACCCTACAGTCCATTCATCCAACTTGTATTTCCTTAGCTTACCTGCGAGAATGTTATGAGAGACTGTATCACAAGCCTTGCTGAAGTCAAGGTATACCATATCTACTGGTCTCCCTGTATCCACAGAACCAGCCATCTCATCATAGAAGGCAATCAGGTTGGTCAGGAATGACTAGCCCTTGGTGAATCCATGCTGACTGTACCTAATCACCTTCTCCTCCAAGTGCTTAGAAATGGATGGACCTGCTCCATGATTTTTCCAGGGATTGAGGGGGGGAAGGGGCGGGGGCTGACCAGTCTGTAGTTCCCTTCATCCTTTTCTTAAATATGGGCACTACATTTGCCCCTTTCCAATTGTCCAGGACATCTCCCAATCACCATGTGTTTTTAATGATGGACAGTGGTTCTGCAGTCACATCACCCAACTCCCTCAGCACCCTTGGGTGCATCTCATCTGACCCTATGGACTTGTATATGCCCAGCTTTTTAAATGGTCCCTAACCTGTTCTTTTGCCACAGTTGGCTGCTCACCTCCTCCCCAAACTGTACTGCCAGGTGCAGTAGTCTGGGAGCTGACTTAATTTGTGAAGACTGAGGTAAAAAAGGCATACTTCAGCCTTTTGTGCATCATCTGTCACTAGGTTGCCTCCCCCATTCAGTAAGGGGCCCACACTTTCCCTGATCTTTCTTTTGTTACTAACATACTTGTAGACACCCTTCTTGTTACCCTTCACATCCCTTACTAGGGGCAACTTCAACTGTGCTTTGACCTTTGTGACTTCACCCCTGCATGACCAAGCAAGGCTTTTATACTCCTCCCTAGTTGTCTGTCCAAGTTTTCACTTTGCTGTCATTTCAGTATAGATCCATGCGGGGGCTGCCCCAGCACAGGGGTCAGTCCATATATATCATGCCACTGGATTGCAGACTGAAGTTTTCAATGGAGAAATGAATGAGGCTTATAACCCTGTCTTGAGTGTCTTATTTACATTGGAAATGCTCCCTCTTGAGCCTCAGTTAGACCCTGGATAAGTTTTTTTTAAAGTCAGAATTCAGCCTGATGATAAGATATAAGAGCTAAATAAATTCATTCATAATTTTCAAGGACAAATGTGAAAAATCAAATAGCTGCATGGGGCTAAAAGGGCTAAGACCATTTCAGTAGGAAGAATTATTTGATTGAGACTGGGGCTTTTGTAACAAGCTATCACAAACAGTGCTCTCCAATGCCACATTTACTGCAGCAGAAATAGAATATCTGTTGAGGAATAGGATGACTTTGCAGTACCAAGCCAAGGTCAAGCCAAGTGCTATTTTAATTTCAACCATTATTCCTACTTAAAAGGATTTGCTAAAAGTGTGAGCTTAAGAAAACCAAGCACTGACATTTTGCCACTTTTTGACCCTGCTCTCTCACAGATACACATCCTCACACACAATAATGTATATTAATTTACTGCGGAAAATCATTTTCCACATCTTTCTTTCCGGTGATGGTTACTAACCTCTAAAATCACCCCTGCATTCTGACCAGCGTTCTCCTTTATAACACATGGAGTCATCAAATCAGCGCTGAGAACCCAGAGCAACTGACCCTCCATCCACTGAAACTCACCTCCAATCAGTAGCTAAGGAGGACCCAAGCTTCAGTTTTATGCTCCTTACCTGTATACTAGTGAGCTTTTTGACAGTGTTAAATGTTAGCGTAGGATTGTGGTACTTCTCTGAATTCAATTACTTTTCCCTTCTTTTTTTCTTTGTCTCTGTCTCTTGTTCATTTTGGCATCCAGGATCATTTCCTCTTTGATAAGCCAGTGTCTCCTTTGCTAACATGTGCTGGGATGGCACGTGACTGGCCAGATGCCAGAGGAATCTGGTATGGCATGTGAAGTGTGGAAGCTTGCAAATGATTTTATTCCATGGCTCCTTGTTTGCCCTAACATTGCAGCTGCCTTTCCTTGACAATGGTTGCCTGCTTAGCTAGTTGCAAAAAATATTATCTGTATTAATTTTTCAAGAAAAAAGGAACAACACAACAAGCAAGACACTTACATTAGTACAATAATTGCTATTACCAGCAAGAACTCAGGGGAATGTAAACAAGTGTATTGCTTCAGGCTTTTAGCTTGATGCCTTTTTTATAAATTAAAAAATTGACCTAGAAAACCACCAGTGATAAACAATAACATCAGTGGAACTGAGTTATAATTGCAATCAGAAAGGTACTGCTTTTAGTGGTGATACCTCACATAAGTCCTCTTATATCTCATTAAGTGTATGAGACCCATTTTAATGAATTTCTTCCATTTTCTTGCTAACAATATTATTTTCTATACTGAAGCTTTCAGAATAGAAGCATTTGCTTTCTATTTTTTTTTTACAATTTTGGATTTTGTAATTGAAAAGACATATTAGGACCCATTTTTAAGGATTTGTTGGAAGCTGCAGTTCATAGGCATAGAGTAAAAAAACAAACAAACCAAAATGAACTTTGGCAATGTAGTTCTCTGCTCCAAGCCTGTGTGGCAAGGAAAAAAAATATATGGGCCAGATTACATGCTATTTGGCAACATGCCCAGAATTACTGTGATTAGTTAAGACTTCTGTTCATTTGAGCACTGTGGGGCCCGCTCCAAAATCTGTCTCAGTCTTGAGGAGTCTTTGATTTTCAGCAGGCTTTGGACTAGATTTGTAGTGCCCAATAAAATCCACTCCAGAGTTACTTCTGGAAACATTGTAGATAAGGAACTGGATACTTAGATTTTATGAACTGCCCAGAAGTTAGCAAAGGGCTTATGTATCACCAGGGGATCAGCTGAATAAACCAGATCTGGTTTTGCATGAAATATCATTTATATGAAAAAATAACCTTCTGGAAAGTGACACTAAGAGTCAGATATTCAAACTTGGACCCTGGACAGAAAAACACCTCCCAAGTGTGATCTACATCATTTGGACATACTGTTGTAAATTACACTAGGATCGGGAATGGAGAGATGGAGAGCTATCCTGAGATAGACCGCACAGTAGGTGGCTATGAGTTAGTTGGGTTTGCCCCTCCGCAGTGGGGGAGCAGGTAAATGCCCAGCATTTGATGGATGCAGATAGGTGAACCTAAACTGATGTAAATCAGACCAGGAGAAGTTTACTTCCAAATGTTTCATGAATAACTGTGGGAAGTTACCATGGTTTAAGGGTTTATTCCATTTGTCTGATACCTTTTTACACTGGTACAATGTCAATGTCTGTCTAAGTCCTTGATTTTCCTTATTGTATCCTGATTTGTAGAGGCAAATAGTTGAGGGTAAAATTATATGTCAGTACAATTTAAGTAATTCAGAAGTCTGAGTGTGAAACTTAGGCATCATCAAAGTAAACAGCAAAGCTCTCATTGATTTCGAAAGGGCAAAGATTTCATCCTAAGGGTGCAATTTTCAATAGTACTCAATATAACCTCATTCAAGTAAATGGTAAAACTCCTATGTAATTCAACACAAGCAAAAGTAACATTATCACCATTGAAAATCTCACTTTAAGTGGTAGTGACTGCAAATCAGTTAATTCAACATCTAGGTGTTTCTAATTATACCCCAAAGACCTGCTAGATCATATTTTCATATGCATTTGCAATTACAACATTCAAGTGCCAAATGGGAATTGTGGTGAAAGTCAGGCTGAAAGTGAGGCCCTCTATGAATTTTAATTCCTAGAGAAGACCCACTATGCTGCTACCCTGGTATGACTGCTCAGCTGTATGAACAAATCTTACCTTCCTGGTCACCTTTTATCTTATTCAAGAAAACTACAATACAAAGACCGAGAAAGCAGAAAAAAGCCAATACAAAAAACCTGCAGTGCCTACCTGACACTTTGAAAGCCTGCTCATAACTGATCAATTTACAGTGAATGTCTTGTCTCTGGCCACATTTATCTTGATTGACAAGATAACATCTGCTATTAATGGACTGTCTTGGAGCAACACTTAGCTGCCTTCTCCCAATTTATAATTTGATTTATGTACCAGTCCTGTGCTACCAAGTGACATAAAGGGCACTGTGATTTGATTTAGAAGAGGATACAATTAAATATGGTCAGGTTGCCAGGCTCCAACAGTGTGCAAACAGATTTTTCTCACCTCAGAACGCTCGAAGTTCAGTGGATACCTTCCTTGCTGACTAAAGCACCAGCACTCAGCTTCTCCCTTTCCTTGTTTCCTTAGCAGCATGTGCCTCGTGATGTGTTCTTGCTAGAAGACAAAATGTACTTTCTAATGCAGCATCAGTACACTACCAATGTGATCACAGCAGAGTGCTCTTGTCACTGAGAACTAAGGAACCTGAAGGATGGTATTCCTTCTGGATAGGAGAATAAAATACAAAAGGCCTCAGTAGCTTTCATTCTTAATCCTACCTTGTAATGTTATTTTGAAGTACTTATCCCTATGGACAATCATGAAATATTAGGAGGCAGTAAAGGAAGGGGTTGGAATAAAATGGAGAATGCTGAGAATTAATTTTGAAGCTTTATTCCACTCTTAAAGACACCATTTTTTCTCTCTTACCCAGGCATAACCATGACAAGACCTTTCTTATTTGGATTAATGAAGAGGACCATACCCGGGTGATCTCCATGGAAAAGGGTGGTAATATGAAAAGGGTGTTTGAGAGATTTTGCCATGGTTTAAAAGAGGTAATAACTCTATAAGGTTAAGATGTGCTTTTATTATTCCTGTTTCTTAGGAACTAAGATGTTTGCTTTGATTAACACTCAGCTCACCTCTCTACATGAAAAGTATCACACCTAATGGCACCCCATGCTGCAACCCTTTTAGATGAGAAATAGGGCCATAAACTGGGACATAGAGGATTCCAACCCATCTCCTGGGTGGCCATAACATGGACATGGCCAGAGGCAGAGGACGTGCCAGATCACTACTCCATTCTAGGAGATCTCAGATGGTGTCATGCCCTGTGCAGGGCAAAGATTAGTTCATCTAGCTTGAGACTTCCTAGAAGTTCAGCCCCTGACAGATGTTCATTTTAAGGTGTGGCGGGATCCACCACATGTGCATGGCAGGACACATGATTTTGTTACTGAAGATTAGATCCCAGATCATTCCTTACTTGCCAGTGCGTGGTGCACCTGGGATCATAATCCCGGACTCCCCCTATACCAACAAGTTGAAACCAGGATGTCCACAGCCAGCTGATTGTCAGGGCATGGGACTGAACCAGAATCTGGAACTGATCCTAGTCCTGTCCCCAGCCCAAGATGGGTAGCACATCTCCCGGTGCACAGGAACCCTGGGATCAGGCTGCAACAGCCTAGTCTTGGGATTCTTATGTACAGAAATTAGGTTAAAAACTCCACATGCTGCCCCAGCTGGGCACACATGTAGTTGTACAGTTTCCCAGAACACTCTGGGATTCCCCTGCTGGGGGATGGATAAAACCTATGTGTGCTGCCTGCGTCTTAAATGTTACATGTGTCAGGACTGCTACAAATGCTTTGTCCCCTTCCAGCACTGCCAAACTTCCACCACTGCTTCCTAGAGATTCCTCTGGCATAGCGAATCCCTACTTTGTGCCAAGCAGCTATAGCAACTCTGTTTCCGTCCTCTTCACAGGATATTAGCCCAGGTTGAGACATGATCAGAAAAAGAAGGGATAGCCTGGGCGCCTCTAGAGCCACAGAAAACTGGGTGGAAGGCCGCTTTAGCTTGTATGGGGAACTGACTCAGCCTCAGAGCTTTGGGATTGGGGGAACACAGAAGTGTCTTTTGAGATACTTTTGTTGCCTCTCCTCCCCTCTAAATAGCATCAGGTCTGTGTTCTTATTAGAGGCATCCAAAATACTGCACAACATTGCAGAGAAGGTAATATAATGCATCATATAGAGGAGAGGGAGAAGGAATCATGGTTCCTATAATCTGTTCCAAGGTCCGTTCAACAATCTGTTCAATCTGTTCAACACTGACCCTGGGACTGTCACTGGTAGCATCAGCAGATACCAACTCCTGCTGTGTGTGACACAGGCATGGACCTTTTACAACCCAGGGAAGAAAATTAAAACTAGAAAGTAAAGACCAGGTTTCTGCTAGTAATGCTGGTGATGTTAAAGGCTCCCTTGTTAACTTCAGCAAAACCTTTCAGCTAATGGCATACTGGTAGGAGTGTTGCCAGCAGATAGAGGGAAGTGATTACTCCTTTCTATTCTGCATTGATAAGGCCACATCTGGAGTACTGTGTCCAGTTTTGGTGCCCCCACTACAGAAAGGATGTGGACAAATTGGAGACAGTTCAGCAGAGGGCAACAAAAATGGTTAGGGGTCTGGGGCACATGACTTCTGCAGCAAGGCTGAGGAAACTGGGTTTATTTAGTCAGCAGAAGAGAAAACTGAGAGGGGATTTAATAACAGCCTTCAATTCCCTGAAGGGGGATTCCAAAGAGGATGGTGGCAGATGACAGAACAAGAAGCAATGGTCTCAACTTGCAGCAAGGAAAGTTTAGGTTAGATATTAGGAAGAACTTTTTCACTTGGGGTAGAAAAGCACTGGAACAGTTTACCCACCCAGAGAGGTTGTGGACTATACATCGTTGGAGATTTTTAAGACCCAGCTAGACAAAGCTTTGGCTGAGATGATCTAACTGGGGATGGTCCTACTCTGAGCAAGGGTTGGACTAGATGGCCTCCTGAGGTCCCTTCCAACCCTACTTTTATATGATTTTCTATGATTCTTTAGCCTGTTTGTTCCTCAGCTAATACAGCTGGAAAATCAGGACACTGAATGACCATATTGGGGTGTTATGATCCAGAACTAATACATAGGCCAAATTCTTCTTTCGTATCAGATTTACAAGTCAGTGGAGTGAACACAGTGAGCACTGGACCAAGATTCAAGAGACCTGTTCTTTATTCTTGGTTAAGCTACTAACCTGCTGGTTGACCATAACAAATAATTTCCCCACCCTGTGCCTCAGTTTCTCCAGTTGTAACATGGAGGTGATAACGTGGCTACTGTAAGCCTCCTTTGTAAAGTGCTCTGAGATCTTCTAATGAAAGTGCTATATGAGAGCTAGGTTTTGTCACACTCAGGTGTACAAAACTCAAGTCTCAGGCCCCCAAAAATCATTGGACTCTTTTGATAAATCATGACATTTAAACAAGTAATAAACTTTGGGTTCTTTTATTTGGTTTTTTTGGTGTTTGAGCCTTACGTTTTAAGCCTCCACACAGCAGAGAAGCTTAAATTTAATTTAAAAGAAAGCCAAGATTCTCATTGAATTGCACAAATTAATGAATTAGGGCCCCTAGACAAACATGATAAAGGCAAGAGTTGTGATAAAATGGCAAGAGTAGACAATGCTGTGTGAGTGAGAGGAGAATCAGACGAATATTTATAACGTTCACTATGGACATAGATTAATGTGAAGGTTTTCACGGAACTCATAATTTTACACATGATTTTATGTGCACATTATGTGTTTTATGTATTTAATTCAGCTTACATGATTACTTACAGAATTTTACTGACATACAGGAGTATAACTGAAGTCAGAAACTGGCATAATAGATTTCAGGTTCACATTGAATTTTAAACAGCAGCAGTTTTCTCTGTTTTTTGCATCTGCAGGTCGAAAGATTAATTAAAGAACGTGGCTGGGAGTTCATGTGGAACGAGCGTCTAGGATATGTTTTGACTTGTCCCTCCAATCTGGGAACAGGATTACGTGCAGGAGTCCATGTTAAACTTTCAAAGCTCAGCAAGGTATGTGAAGCATTAAAAAGGCCTGTGACACCAATTGGCTCCTCCTCTGATTCAAGGAGAAACACATAAAAAATGACAATTCACAGCAATAACATGATAGCGTTATATGTAAAGACCTACTGAATTCATGGTGGAAGTGGGGTATGTGGCAGCTCCTTTAATCTTGTATGTTCCCCCGCATACCCCTCCCCCTCACCACTGATTGGCGGAGGGGGCCCACTGCTCCCTCCTGATTGGCAGGGCAGCAAAAACCACGGTTTTAAGCATGGCCCTGTTTTTGCCTCCCCACTGGTCAGCAGTAAGCAGTGGGGCCACCAGGCCCCCTTGGCCAATCAGTGGCAGGAGGCAAAAACAGCACCAGATTTCAATTGGGGGGAGGGGGGGAACCTGCAGATTAAAGGAGCTGCAGCGTAGCCCACTTCTGCTGTTAATTCAGTAGGTCCCTAATTATGTGCAACTGTGAGGTCCCAGAAACAGTTATATAATTAACTGGGCATATTTTTATCCCTCATATTTCAGTATTTGTTATCTATTCTCCAGACTACAAAGATTGGCTGTAAATTAAAGATATAAGAAAACAGTTCATTTCTACTGGTCCTTCTGAAGAAACTATTGACACAACTGATAGTGGCATAACCAGGAGTGAATACAAGAAATAATATCCAAAATGCAATTAGTACAAACACATCTCTTATGCTAGGATCCCAGATTTTCAAAGATCCTGGAGAACCTGAGGTTGCAGAAACGTGGCACTGGCGGTGTGGATACAGAAGCTGTGGCAGATGTGTATGATATCTCCAACATGGACCGTATGGGCAGATCAGAGGTAAATTTTTATCCCTAGTTTTAAATATGATGGGGAAGATCCCTAGCTGCTTTAGTTGATCATAGCTCCAATAAAGTCATGGGAGCCATGACTGTTTATATCTGTTGAAAATCTGATCCAATGAAAATATTCACCCAAGGTGAAGTTACTTATATAAGCTAAATCCAGATGGGTCCCTTAGGCACCTCTCTTTTGGTTTTGCAGCACCCCAAAATTAAGCATTTTGCTCAGGGAGGGTGATGAAAAGCAAAAGACTTAGGTATCTAGGCTCCTTATGCAGTCAAAAGGGAAAAGTTATATGCCTCTAAAGGATAGCCCAGATGCTGATCAGGGAGGAGCTTAGAGCCAGGTAGAAGGAAATTGAATATAGGTATTGCAGAATTCCTGTCCCTGTTCAAAGCCTGGGTGTCTCTATCCACTTGGGATCCAGAACTCTTCTGGCGGTGGGTCTTATGGACACAGTCATTGCTCTGTTCGTAGTACTCACCTTTGACTAGTAGGATAATGGGCAGAACACTCATTCAGGGAGTAGGAGAACTGGGTTTTAGACCCTCCCCCTTTTCAGGAGATTAAATTCACATATCTAACTTTCTAGAAAAGTGCCCAACCATCTGGTTATATAGAGTGGTCTGGCTGAAAACACTGTCCTCTTGAATCTGCCTCACTATTCAGCTAAGAATGTAAGAGTCATTTGAAAGATGGGCAGCACTAAAGAAGCAGTCCAACTCCAGAGACTAGCTGAGTGCACTCTGTAGGAAAAGTCAGTACTAGTTGCTGGTTCATGCTCACTGGATTGGGAATGCAGATTATACTGCACAATCATTGACTAAAAGCAGAAGTAATCCAGGCATTCAGGACGAGATTCCAGGGCTCCTTTATATGCAACATGCTGGTGGTTAGAGCACTGTAGGAAACCAAAGTTCAGTTCCCTCTGCTGTCTGCTTTGTGCATGGATCTGAACCCAAATCGGTCCCTTCCCAGGACAGACCCCTCCTCCACTGGCACTGTGAGATGGGGCAATCTCAGTTATACCAGCTGACAGTATTCCAATTTGGATCAAATGCTTAAATGTTTGTTGGTTAAATTGGGAGAGAGTCAGCCATGTGCACAGTGAGCACCTGTTATAGGCAAACAAGGAGCTATGATATATTGTTTAAGAATCAATATGTGATCATGAAATATACTAGAGTTAAAATACCTGATGTGTCCTTTATGTTGAAATATTGTTCATAAAACATTTATATTTAAATTGTTATTTAACAAAGGGGTTTGTAAATAGTTGGTTTAGTCCTACAAACCCATGGTCATGGAGATATCTCCAGTGAAGCCAATGGGAATAAATGTTTGAAGGATGAAGTCCACAGGAGAGACACATTTCCTGCTCTGAAGAACTATAAATCTAAATAAGACAAGACAAACAAACACTAGAGAATAGAACTGTTTTATTAGAGAACATATATTTTCCAGCAAAAAATAAAATAAATTTCATTACATGGTAAATGTGTTTGCAGAACTACATTATGTTCCCAAAGGGGCAACATAAAGTTGTTTGTGTTTTTGTTTGTTTCAGATACTGGTCAATGCAAACTTAATATAAAATCCCCTCCCTCCTGGAGGCTGCAGAATCAGACCTCTGATTTCCCAGCACAGCTGGTCTGTAAAAGACAATAAAATAAACTGTTAAACCACTGAAATGCTTTATGGTAAAATCAAATCCCTTGAAAAATCAGTCACTGTCACAGTAAAGAGGCAATGGGATTTAGCTTGGGCATTCAGTTTTAACAAACAAGTCATTAAAGATTGTTAATGAACCATTTAATGAAGATTAAGACAAATCAGTAACATAGTTTACTAGCTGCATTAAAGTTAATAATACCGGGGGAGTTGGAACACCATCATACCACTAGTTGTCATAAAATTCTCACCTGCCAGGTTTACCTTGTCCCTTCCTTTTTATTCTTTATACTTATTAAAAGAGCTTCTACAGACACATATGTCTCATGCTACACAGAAACTGAGCTTTTGTTACTGCTTCAAGGGGCCAGATCCTATTCTATCTTGTAGGTGCTTAAGTGAACATCGGTCCCTAAACATGACCCTATCCCTTCCTGCTTGAAACCTTGAAAAACAGATAATGCCAAAGGTGAGTGGGTCCTCCTTCTACTCACTGCTTTTGTGCATCTTAGGCATAAGACTATGATGGCATGTTAAAAAGTAGGCATGTTTGTGTTTTTTAAGGACTGGAGCAGGGTGGAATAGCATCACATGTATGGGTGTCTAAGTCCATTTATGTGCTATTAAGTGGAATAGGGTCTGGCCTTAGCTTTGATTCAGATCTCATTTACCCACCTGGATATCAGGACTAACACTATTGAATTCAATAGGGTTATACCTGGTATAAAACCTGAAGTGTTTTGAATGAGGTCCACAGACCAAGAAATGTGGATATGTGGCTTGACATTATTACCATCACTATAAAAGTAAAACTCAGTCGATGGAAGTTTTTTCTACATCAAGGCAGCTGATTGTGGTAGGATAAGAATAGAAAAAATTAAGAGTATAGGGGATTTCCATTTTGCAACCATGGAGTAAATCCAAATGTCCTGTGCTAATAACTAGGGAGGTATGTCATCCTTCACTTTCCTTCTGAACTTGAAAGATGTTTCATTCTTACACCTACAAGACAACCTCAGCCAAAAGCAATATCCACTTTGCTCACATTGACATGAAAGAAGCAATTAATTTTAATTACTCATTTTCAGTAGATACTGAAAACATAGTAAGTGGGGAAAAGTGAGGATTGTCCTCAGAGGTGTTTCACAGTACATGTGTGTGTGTGTGGGGGGGTAGTCTTTGCATACCAAAAGGCTGAGAGCATGAACAGTTGTTTTCTACAGTCACTAACTTCGTGCATGTAATTTTTGCGGGTTTGGGGGTGTGAAGAGGAGTGTGGAGAGCACTTGCATTTAAGCATATTTTTTTGTACCTGATTTTTGTACTCCCACATAAAAATGTGGGAGCAGAATTTGTGGAGGCGTATATAGAGACCTTTTTGAAATATATTCTTCTCAGTGGGCCAAATTTTGGCTTGATAAAAATTAGAGAGGGTTATTTTGGGTTTATTTGGGCCAACTGTGACACACTGAGAGGAGGCAGTTAGCTCTGAGAAGGCAGTCACTCCTTGCCACTGATGAACAAACGAGCTCTTCGCATAGATTGTAGAGGAGAAAGGTGCTCAGCCAGGAATCTACGAACAGCAAAATATGTGGGTGGGACAGGTAGGAGTAATTGTTGGTGGAACGGACTTAGCTTCTTGTCTGGGTCACAGGCAAGTGCAGTTGCATGGACATGGAATTCGGAAGTTTGGAAGAAAAGTGGAAA